ATATATATATATATACTGACCCGATGGCCAAATCCCGAAAACACTATTGTTCACTCTCTTGCTGAAATGTGTGGTACTAGATTTGTGGTTACAATGATGCATTGCCGGTAAAAACACACAAAAGTTAACCGAAAAAGGATCGTAGCTCACCTACCATGCAGTCGTCAGTCTTCGTGCGTGTTAGATGAATTCGACAACCTGAAGCTGTGGAATGCGGGTCGGTCCGCCTGATGTATTGTGGTGGTTGACATTCATAGAGAAAGCGCGTCAAATAAATTGACTACGGGGATCGATCCCCATTTGTGTGACTGTCAAGGTTCTATGAAAATAGGTACTTGACAGCACCTCTGATTAACAGTCGATATCACTGACATTCTGAGTCGACTACACCCGGCCGCATTAGTGTGGAGTTGATCCACCACGCAAAAGAATTGTGTACAGAGTTATCCGTTGCGCATGGCTCATCAACCGGGGTTATCTAGGTTATCCTGTACTGCACGTACTTTCTATCACAGCATCGCGACAAGTGGACAGCATTGGTTTGTTGGTTCTTGATTAGGTGTCTGTTGATATGTTTGCCGAGCTTGGCAATTGACTTGGAAGCGTTTCGTCACCATACGAAGAGACATAATCAGTGCGTACGCGGGTTCAGTATTGGCGTGTTTTCTATAACCAATCCGAAATCACCAGTTAGTTTTCGGAGCATCATCCATAGGATCTCCATAGCGCACTTCGTTGGTAAGGTAGGATTTTGTCGAACGACTGTGATGGAGAACACGAATGGAGAGTGTGCTGTGTGTCCGAAATTTCTGCAGACGAAAGCAAGGGGAAGTAATCCGATAGTTCGTGGGTGCACGGAGTTTGCTGTGATTTTCAACTCGCTCTTTCCGTATGAAGCTGAGACGCTTGTCAGTTCGACCGGCGTTTTCCTTCGTACAGTTATTAATTCAGTTACGCTCTAGTGACCAGTGTAATTTTACATCGGATATGATGTATGGAAACGAATAGGTATAATACAATCGTGTTTTTTTAATGGTACATATCACATGTGACTGCAGTGAGGACGCCTACGACCAACCGACAGTCTCTTTTATCAGAGATGTAACTGCAAAGCTTGCAGCATATTGTTTCCGATATGCATCTTTGAACATGGAAACTAAGTTATTCATCTTACAGAAACTAAAGTAGACATGATTAACCCCATGATGACCTTACCGCTTCTCCGTAAGCACAATTAATTGAATTAATATGAAGGACTTATTCAAACGGCAGTTTAGCAGTTGTTTGCGAAAAAGTGGGAATGCGAAAACTTGCTTGCTGTTCTATCAATTTTTTGGATGTTTTTTTTTTAGGTTCTAATGTGAATTGGCTTACTAGCTAAATTTTTTGGAAAATATTGAAAGACTCAAGTGTGCTCACGTCACACGAAGTTACAACGCTAATGGGTTTTCAATTTTTGGTGCAAACCCTTATTTTAATTTTTCTCCGTTCAAATGTGATCAACATTCTGAAATAGGTGGATTAATAGGAAATCGGTGAACTGATCTATTTAGATGAGTTTCCACTAGGAGGTTTCCCAGTGTTGATTGAAGCACTGTTTGAGTTGTTTGCTTCTGAATAGGTGATCCTTTCTTCGAGCAAACAATCTCGCCTTCTGTGCACACGGCTCAAATTGAGATTATCGACACAGTAACGTAATCACTGAAATTCGTTTAGTGATTTCCCGAACATGAATAGTTTGACTACGACTTTAAGCCAGTAGTATATGTACCATGCAGCTGAAAGCCGTCAGCTTACGGATTAGTGAGTGAGTCTAGGGAATGCTCAGTTTGATCGCGTTGACTTAATCTGACTGATTTTGGCCCATGGTTGCACACTTTAAGCTTTGATGTTTTTTGGCACAGATGATTTCACTAGTTGCCATTGAAAGCATTTAACACTTGTTAACATGTCGTTTTAGGTTGCATTGTAGTTGACCCCTCTGAACCTAACTGTTGCCACTCAAATATATGTGCAGCACATGTACAATGATTTCTACTGTGAATACCCTCCACGCAATTGTACCACCCCACAACTAAGGGTCACTGGCGCACAGGGTGGTTTCCAATACGCTTTACTACCATCTGCCTCTCATTCTGAGTCCAAGTTGATTCGATGTTTTAACTACGTACCTCTCTGTGCTTGTGTGCATCTTGTGTATCGCACAACCGATCTTCGTTATAGGCCGCTGAAACGACGATTCCTGGTGTGAGCGAAAAGGCAGATGTTTGAGGAATGGAATCAAACTACCATGTCCCCTTTGGCGTGTTGATGTTCCGCTAGCTGAGCTACCCCTTACTTACGAACTTTGAACCTCACGTGGTACGCCTGGCGCCTAACTAATCAATTAACGACCATGGACTGTCAACACCGTGACTGTGCGCGTAGTTGAACTCTTCTAATGGGTCAGAATTCATTTTCGTTCGCCTATACAAATGAGCTCAAAATAGCTCAGTGATACAGGCGCGAACTTAGTGACCACAAGGTCCAAGCTTCGAACCCAATGTCTTCATCTTTACCGCCTCTGTCTAGTCTTCGGCAACCAGGCACTCTCTTGACCCTCGTGCTTCCTTCGGGTAGCTTGACATCCAGGCACCGAAAGGGTGTTACAGTTGAGCGGTTGTTATTCTTATTCTTATTGTATCTAAAAGACTATGTTTAAGCCTCATAGTCACCTGTTCATTTCACCATAAGAAGTTGTTATTAACAGTGTGATTCTTTTTCAAGGTCTTCAGACCGTGACTTTACTTCTGCAGTCACAACCTGCATAATCTCTGCACCTTTTTGATCTGTAACCGACCCGAAATTTTTCACGAAGGTCTCGATAAAATTTAAATTTGCCGAAAAAAATTATTGAGGTGTTTCTCCTGAGAACTACTCGGTGGCGTGTGAATGTGTTTAAAGGGATTCAGGTTTTTTACTGCACACTTTGGATACCTCTCCGTTGGACCTCCCAAGTTCGCATGACTTCTTAGCACGAATAATTCACGGTCTCCTCGTTAAATGCTGCTTATAAAAGCAGTTAACCTTATCTAGGTTTGTAAGCATCGAGTCAGGTCTTTGTACTTTTATCGAAGGCAAGAGCAAGTATACCAACAAAACCATCCAAATACAACGCGTTCTGAGCGGTGATTTCTTGCACTCAATTCTAAAGGTCTGAAACGGAAAGTGATTCACAAGTTTTCATTTACCATGGTCTAGCTCATTTGCCGATTACAAAACTAGAAGGGTTACTGTGTACTCTCATCAATAGCCTGTTGCCGTATATGCGAGGATGGCCTTCAAAGTTCCAACGCACGCCCTACAATCGTCTGGCAGTAATGATCCCCCCAACGGATGTAATGCTTTGATCCAGAAGTTGCTCACAAAACTTTCATGCAGAACTGTTACGTGAGAGAAATTCCCTGACTCTGGTACATTACACCGAAACCTAACGTAGCATCTCAGAACCTGGCATCATTCCTGAACTTTTCTACCCGCTGTTTTCTCCCCACAGCCCACGATATCATGCACTTGCTCCCAGTTTTATTGTCTCAAATCATGAACTACATGACCCAGCCCACAATCGATGACACTGTCCGGACGTCGCTTGCAAACACGCTCGGACAATACTGTGAAGCAGCTTTGGAGTATCTGGCATCAGCCCAAGATGCACCAGAGACATGGGACCTTGTTTTGGAATTAATATCATCCTCGTGTTCATCCGCGGCGGACACAATGCTCTCTGTTTGGCTCAATGGCACAAAAGATCCGAAGGTGGGTCTAACCTACGGTGGTATCCCTTTGAAATGTCACCTAGTGGTATCGCTTGGGCAAACTAGTATCAGTGCGATTTTTGTGTAGAATGGCTTTCCAGGGTATTAACTGGACGATTAGATCACCCCGTAATTAGAGCGCGAATTTACCGACCGGAAGGTCCGTGATTCGAACCCGAACTCTGTCTCTCGACTCCCCCTGCCCAGGCTTGGTCAACCTGGCAGTATTCCAGCCCTCGTGCTTCCTTCTGGTGACATGACAGTTAGGCACCAAAAGGATGCTGCAGCTGAACGATTTTTTCATTTCGATTGCCCAAAACAGTGATCGAATTATCAGCCAAGAATATGCAGTAAACGGTCTTCCCCACAAACCAGCTTTTGAGTTTCAAATTTTAACGACCCAACCCCATTTGATCGAAATAATCGTGTGGAGAAGCTGAGTAATCTATTCAGACTTTCGGTTTTTCGCTTGGTTTGGTTTGAATGCGACACATACTGACGGATATCACCTTCCTGTGAGGGGCTTCGATCTTGTTTGTGGATATTATGTATAATATGCAGCGCGAGGAACTTCGGTGAGTGTTGAATTTTCACATCTATTCCTTTTTTCAGCTCATTCAAGCCATCTTTTACAATATTGGATCGATTGCCAGCTTAACGGATCTCACCTACCTGGTCGCCCATCTTTCCAGGTTGATTAACAGCTTAACTGGACAATTAAAGAAGGCTCACCCTCCACTAGAACAGGCTGTCGTCCATTCTCTGAATGCGCTATTTGCAACTGTTGCTCGAAGGTGTTCTGTACTAAAGTTGGATCACTCACACTCCAAAGACAGCATCTCCTCCACTCCGTTGGGCAGTCCAGGCGATCAGATCACGAAATTCTTCGAAGGAGAACTAGACAGTCTCATGAACTGTTTACTAAACCAGCTGGTACAAATGTCTCAGCGACAACTTGTTGCTGAAGTACCCGGTGCTGTTTCAGTCACTCAGAAGACTATGAACGAAGTTAAAAGGGCATTAGCATCATTATGTGAGTCGGCTGTTTTTACGCGGAGATTTCCAGTCGCTGTAGTAACTGATTATTTATTCTATCAACTAGTTCACGGTGACTCATATTGATACCTGTAAGAGTTGAAATTGCCTCTAATAATAGAAGAAATAAAGTCTGTTTAATGGAACTTTCAGCACCAATCCTTTTGTGACCCAAACGGCACATCCAATAGTGCATGACTCAGTGTCAGATGTCTGTTACCTTCATGTCCGGTGAGACGCTGAAATTTTTAGAGATTAAATCCCATCGAATTAACTATTCTAAGCGTCAACCTTAACGGCGCTGACACATGGAGTAGCATGACTGTTTCGAGCAATGAACTGTTTTAGTTCATCACTAGAGGAGCTGGAAAACTAAGTGTGAGTTCCGAACATCCTAATTACACTTGCCCCTAGAATAGAACACCACTGATTGGTTCTTTGAGTTTATTTCTCTAGAGAGAGAGATCATTTTTCAGACGCCTTTTTTCTGTTTATCCTTTCAGATTGTTTCGTTGGATAGAAACAATTTTTATCGATCACTATAGTCCGTGTTTTGTAGACCGAATATATGTAGGTCTGTCTCATAATCGTGAACTGTCCACAAAGATGCTTCTAGATTTTTTGGGCGTTGATACTTTCTGCTCTTACTATAGGGTACGCCAACCTATCCAGGTCATTAGCATCCTCACACGGGCCATCTTTCGTCAAAATTGATCACGTTTCGCGCTCACCAACATTGTTCCCTAAAACACGGGTGACTAGTTTATTTGGAGCTGAACTGTTTGGTGTAGGTGAAATTACTTGTCCTCTTCAGGTAGAGTGAGCTGATACAGAGTCCTTGTCAAATAGAGATTGTGTATTGGTGACCCCTCCCTGATCGAGGCATCAGTGGCTCATGTACTCAGTCAGAAAAGATGGAATAGATTGATGAGGGTATGGTTACTACGACTAAATGAACAACTAGTTTTGACTGCTGTCGATATGCTGTCAAAGTATGTGATCAGACAGGTTTTCCGAAAGTTGATGGAATGTAACATCGTGCCATGTAGGTAGCTGGATTGTTGCTAGGCCAAAGGTGTGCTGATGAACCCTGATGTAAGCAAAACAACGAAAGAAGCAACGCAACACAATCGCTGTTGATTTTTGTCGGATGCGGAAAGCTAATTGCCTGGTGTACATGACAGTGAACGTTTGGTTATGATGGATCGTTGCTAAAGTAAGTGTTGTGTCAGCGGCAAACTAATTCACGCTTATTTATCCGGGTGGCTTGGTGGATGAGATTGTGGCCCAAATTTTCGACTACCTGATTGGGACCCAGCACCCTAGTTACCCATATTAATGTTTCGAAAATAAAGCCATATAAAGAAAGGTTCATCTGATGGGGTCATTTCATGTGAACTATGGGCCGATTGGGAACATGTTTAAATTGTCAAATCTGAATAGGCCTGACTGAGGCTGCCGTGTGAATTTGAGGTTCTCAATTTGGATGTAAATATTATTTCGCTTTACAGGTACTACCTATCCAGTACGTGTGCTCAATTTCACTGAATCTCACTTACATTCGGGGTCAGACCTGTCGCGATCTGTCAGTTTGAACTTGCTGCGCCATTTAGTTTCCTCTTGCGACAGACTCTGTTTCGACGACCCAATGCGCAAATCCATCCTGGCGAACCTCATCCGTCTCCTGTTTCAGTCTATGGCCAGTCCCACTCCCATCCGTCGTGGTCCGATGAAGCACAACTTAATGGGTGCAGTGGTCAAAGCTTCGCCAGTCAGTCGAGATCGATGCAGTATGATAATAGGCGAGGTGGCTTCTGGTGATCGACTTCCTTCGTGCATACGTTACGAATTGGTGAAAATCGTGCTAACACTGGGTAGTTTGGACTATTTCGAACTGGATTCGGGAACGCATGTGTTTGTCGAGTACGTGGTTCGACAGTGTGCTTCTCCACTCACTCGTACGACGGATATCAGAGTAAGCTTCATTACGACGTAAGCCTTCCCATTTGCAGATCGCGCCCGTGTGCAAATGGCACCTACTAACTTATCGTACTGTGATTACTTTGCAGGACCTATCTCCATATTCTTCCCCGTATCCAACAAGCCATGTTCCGGATAGATAAATCTTCCTACTCGAAGCAGTTGGCTAGAGCGTTTTCAGATAGGCAGGTTAATTAACTTTCCGTACGATTGATCATGGGGTGACAGGATGAACGATCACTCGAGCTATTGATCTCGTACCGAACTGGAGCATAACATACCACTCATAGGGCTGCCGAAAACTCCAACGGTTTACGGTTGGTTTCCACCTCTTTGGGCTCACTAGGACATGTAGTCGCCGAGTTTCCAACCGTGTTCCACTTGAACACCGATTTAATTTGCAACTGAGTGTATTTCGCCAAACACCAACTTAGTTTAGGATTCATGGATGTTTACGCATCTGTACACGCTCTATGCTAGTATTTCCTACCTATTGACAATCGGATGGCACCTAGGACTTCAAGTTGGCCAACCAAACGTTTTCACAAAGCGAAACAGAAGACAGCCTTTGATAGCGTAAGGTATATGATCCACTGCGTTTTCTTGTTCGATCGTCCCACTCTTCTGCCTAGTGATGACATTGCATAGCATGATTAGGAATCGCAAGGTTTTATTGGACTCATCTATCTTTTAATGTTAGTTCAATACTGCTGACTTACTTGGGTTCTAAACAGAGAAGACATTCCGAAACAGCGCTTTTGACTTCGTGCTTTGTGCTTGTATCAACTGTATGGATATGACTTATTTGATCAATAACGCTAGTAAAGTCCTGGAACTGTCTTCAGGTGACTGAAATTAAGGTAAGGTCCATTGAATCGGAGACAGCGGGAGCCTCAATCCATCTATCCTCTCGTTTGTACGCTTTGCAACTGAAGCTGATAGCGACGCCTCAGAAAATACTGCCCTATTAATTTGGTATACCAGCACCGGAATTTTTAGCCTTGTTTCCCTTCAGAATGACGGAATTACTAGTTCCGATTGGTTGACAAGACTCTGATCCATGCATACAGACAATGGAGTACTTATTCCGGCCACTCATTGTCATTAGACAGAAGAATATGATAATCGAACATGACAACATGGTGATTCATTCTTCTCACATCATTAAGAGATGCTTTTTGTTGCTTCTTGCAATGACAATACAGTAGCGACTTTATAGAGGTGTGAATGTGTGTGACCCTTGAACTCGATATCAGACTATTCCGTGGATGACAATACAGTAGCGACTTTACAGAGGTGTGAATGTGTGTGACCCTTGAACTTAGTTGCGAAATAGTGGGGAGATGTCGATCATACTAGTTAAAGTTTTGGTGTAAAGTTTACTGTAAGTTTTAAGGCCAAAGAATCAGAGAAAGAATACCAGACCCTCAACGAGACAGCCTACCGAGATGGTCGCGTAATTTTAACCCGTTTCTTTTTCCCATCTTCTAGTCTCCCACCGGTTGTTCGAAGTAATATACACATAAATTACGGGTTCGATTTCATAGGGTATCACCTGCTGACCAAAAATGACTTCATTCCACCGACTGGGATTGAAGGTTGAAGTGAAAACAACAGTAGTCTTACGATTTTGTTACCATGCTTAGGAATCATCTGACTTGTCTAACACCATGTCAAATTACCTAACTATTCCGGCCTAATTGCATGTTCTGATTGTTGCTAACTGTTCTGTCCCGGCTCAAAAAGTCTCCTGTTTTAAAGACGAAATTCTCATAGTCAGTCTTGCACGACAGGTTGACGTCATTTTGACGATATGTTCTACCACACGCGACAGTATATCGTGATCGATACTACTTATATCGTTCCGTCGTTGGTGGCCAGTTTAACTCGTACCAGAATCTTATCTTACCGGTGAGCTATTTAAGCCAGCAAATGCGTACGATGTGACTTAAACACAATCGTTAAGGCTGGAACTCACAGACTCAGAAGGCCTTTGGTTCGAATCCAATTTCAGCATCTCGATCGCTCATGTCTAGGTATGGGTGACTCGGCAGGATCTCAGCCCTCGTGCTTCCTGACTGAAAGGGTGCCACAGTTGGACTATTGTTATTACTTATTATTATGGAGCTCCTGCAGCCGCATCCCTCATCATATCCTGTTTACTGTAGTCTGCTCCAGTTAGACGAAACAGTGGAGAAACCGTGTTGGTTCATTTCATCAGCAGTGTTGGACTACTAAGGACCGATTCCGTCCCCCACTCCAGTGACCGCATGTACTGTCAAACTCACTCGCTTGCTGTTAAACCCCAACCGAGTATTGTTTTCCGACTTTATGCACCCATTTTCAGGCATCTCCCCCCAACAAGCAATACTCTTTGGGAATGCTCTTGTCTTCTGCTGGCTGCGAAGCACTCACCTCGTTACAAACCCAGATAACGAACGGAATGGGTGGGGATCATTTCAGGTGCACCATACAGCACGTTATATATATATATNAGCAGTCGCAATCGTCCTGCACAGTATGGTGTCAAAACGATTCTGTTTTCCAGTGTGAACACAACTGCTCTTGCAAACAGTGAATACTCCTCTGCTACCGGCCCTAACCCCCCATGAAAACTTTTGAAATACGAATACATACTTGTAAACTTCTATGCGATTTGTGTATGAAAAACTGAACTGAACCGGTCTAACCGAAGGCACAATCCTGTCATTACTTATACTGTTTTGGATGAGGGTACGAGCGCTTTGTACAAGACGTCCTATAAATGATTTACTGGCGTCAAGTGTACGCCTTCACCCGTCATCTCGCGTCCTCTCCATACCAGCTCACGGGATGGCTGTATCATGGACAGGTATTTTCACACAAATGATCGTTAGATCTAGGGAGCAGCCGGTAGCATCTCCAATGCACTTTCACGCTCATCGAATCCACTTTTCAATCAGTGAAAACGTTCCATGTTGTGCGAAGCAATTTGCCCTGGTGTAAGTGACGTTTCGGGTCAGTTACTGTCTTTGTTTTGGTCATATTTCAGCCCGATTCCAGTAGGATGAACTGATAGTTCGATGTACCAAACTTGACTGAGGTGGCTATGATAGAATCGCTGTCGCTATAATATTTTTATCACCGACTGGTCTGTTCTGTCCACATGAACAGTCTCGTCCCAACCTATTGTCAGTGTTATCCTGGTTCTTGGAAGCTCAGGCAAACATGCGAAACGTGATCTCCCAGATTTGTATCCGATTCCTGTGTGAGCTCCAACTGATAGATTAGGTTGGTCCAAATGTATATTGTTTGTTAAGCCTTACTTTTGATTCTTCGCTCTAGTCACTACAGATTTATCCCTTGGTTTGTACATTGGGCTCAAGATATCTCAGGGGTTAAGGTGCGAACTTACCAGCTAGCAGGTACGTGGTTCAAATCCGACCCCGGCATCTCAAGCGGCCCCTGTGTGTAGGCCTTGGCAACCTGGCAGTATCTCAGCCCTCATACTTCTTTCGAGTTACATGGCAGCTTGGCGATGGAAGGTCGTTAAGGCTGGACGATCATTCGTATTATTATTCCTCTTATTATTTGTTGGAATTGAATTAGCGGTTCGAAATGCAGCATGGCAAGTGCTTGTCGAATCTGACTCCCTACCACTCATGTGAACAGCTCTCCTCCTGAAGGATTTCAGAGTTACACACGTTAGAGATTGACTCATAAAACCTGTGATTAATGTGCATCTTGTTATGCCTGAAGAACTGTTGTGTCATAAAGTGTGCATTCTGAACACGGCTATCCAATACTTGACAGCAGCGTATTGGTAGCCACCCCTATGGATGTTAACCAGTAATACTTTCATTCCTTATTGTGAAGTCAACCTTTGCCGAAAAACCAACATTCACTGTACAGCTGCCCCACGGCTGTTCGGATGCGTCAGTAACAGCTATCTCAGGAATCCAGAGAGGATTCAAACTCTGAACCATGTTGCGTAGTATGATCTGCGCTGCTGAACGTTGGGTAGCGCTTTGTCCTACAGCGTTCAGCTGTAGCACCCTTACGGTGCCTAGCTGCCATGCCACCCGAAGGAAGCACGAGGGCTAGGATACTGCCAGGTTGCCCAAGCCCAGACAGGGGAAGTCGACTGCCGAAGGTCAGATTCGAACCACGGACCTTCCGGTCAGTAAATTCGCGCTCTAACCAATTGGGCCATCTCGCCCCCCTACAGCGAGTCCTCCTCCCTCCTACAGCGGTCTGTGTTGATTATTTCTACCTGGCTACGCTTGGTCCAAGACTAGTATCACACCACAATGTGAGGGTTTGGTAGTTCAAGTTCTTCCAGGGCTCCATAGAACTGGATCCTTGCTTATGGTCAATAAGAAGACAACAGTGCTTCTGAACCGTTCATCATGATATGCTGGTCGCTGTCCTTAGTTCGAAATCCGATAATCAGTCCGTCTGTATAGAGGAGGATCTGAATTGTGGATGTAGATTTTATTTTGTGCGTGAACTTAGTGTTTGCTCATATCAGCTGTGGCTGTCCCGGTTCTGTTCTGGTATACCCAAACGATGTTTTAATACGCCTCAACACACACACACACACTGTCGGGTCTGTTCCATATTTACTCAGGCAAACCGAAACTCGCCCAGTCAAGAGACAATACGAAGTCTTTGCGTTCACGTGCTGAAGCTAAGTTCAACAACCGTACCGTCAATGTACCCAACATTATGGCCGTTTCTTTTGGAGTTTCTCATGGTCCAAGAATGTACTGAAGCTGTTGGGGTAGTTTGTGACAGCATCGCCAATATTCTCTCCAAATCTGCGGTAAGATATCAGCTATTTTTTAACGTCAGCCTATCTACCGTACTGCCTGATCCGAACGAGCTGTGTTTAGGATGCTTGTATGCACACTTGGTTAGTTGGTCTTTCTTGACTGGCCAATATCTCATCCGTACCCCTTCCGCAGGACCCCGTGACGGCTATGCTTCGAAGGTAGCATCTTTTTTAAATTACCAGATCGCAAGCAAAATCCGGATTAGTTGTACATCGAAAATGCCTGGCACTTTTTTTAGTTGATTGAACACAACCAAACTGTTTCGCTTATAAACACAAGTCCTATAGTTCTTTTATGATGCGTTGCATCACCGTCTGATGCATCGCATCATCATTGCAGGCTTTTTATTTTTTTCCTTGTCTATTCTATTTCTTATCTCAGACTGACTTTGATCCTTGGAAGTTTTTGTCTAGCCCGAGTCATTTAACTGACGCATCGCCAGGCAACGCCGATTCGAAACTTAGTGAGTTGCGCGTTTTTCAATCCATATGACGTGACTAGAGTTGTGTATCCAATTGACCACCTTTGTTGCCCACACACTCACAGTAGTACGATTGGTTATTGCGTGTGCCCTATGCCAAAATTTTAGGACCACAACAGTCAGCGCCCCAGACAGTAGTTGCGAATTTTCGGACTCGCTTCGCTTTGGTGTGAGGTAACTGCAACATAGTTCGTAAGGTTCAAGAATCATTTAACAAGGAAACAAACAACTCTGGACAAAGCGGCGTTAGATTTGGATAGAATTCCGCGCACAAGAAAACCATTTCGGTCAATCCCGAACAACCCCACGTAATCGGATTCTGCCTACCTACTTAACCTGAGTGTTTGATTAAGTTCGGCTATTCATTGCTATGTGTACGCATACCTTTATAGCAAAATATCCCCATGGTTCAATAGCCTTTGACTTTATCATCAGTGCGGTAAAATATATATATTGGTGCCGTTTGCTAACAGCTCATGTCATCCGGTTCCAGATCTATGTACGTCACAATTGACCGTCTTTTAAGAAAAGAACGACATTCTTATCTGAATTAAAAAGTAGTTTTGACTGCTGTGTTAAGGAGAAATGGGGAAAGAGACTGTTAATAACAGCGATTATTCCGAGAGGCCGTATTGTGGACCCCAGTTTCTGTTGAACCAATTTTTTTTTATCGTTCAGCTGTAGCACCCTTTCGGTGCCATGCCACACGAAGGAAGCACGAGGGCTGGGATACTGCCACGTTGCCCAAGTTTAGACAGGGGAAGTCGAGAGGCAGGGGTCGGTTTCGAACCACGGACCTTCCGGTCAGTAAATTCGCGCTCTAACCACTTGGTCGTTCTCGCCCCGTTGAACCTCGCCTCGTTGAACCAATACAAGGATGCAAGCCTCAAGATGCTACTTTTAAAGGGAAATCATTATGACCTAATGTCTGTCAGCTTAACAAAATGATTTAGTCTAATGTCCGAACGTAACGGCATTCGGTTTACGCTTTGGTCCAAGCAGCCTTGAAATATCATCCCAATCAAAGTTGTATGGATTTCATTCGAATAGTATCGCATGCCACTGAACGGGGGCAATTACATCCGTACATAAAGATGCCAGGCTCATTAGTGTTCTACCCGAGAATATGTGCTCTCGGTCTTTCATGGGCTCTCCCATTTACCGCATATGCAATATGATGCTAGAAGTTGCGTTAAATGGACGGTGGGACTTGAGCGTGGGACAAACACCAGTCCGTCACCCAGTTCACAATCAACTTGACGGCAGCGCACGCTGGAAGCCTTGTGCGCTTTCATTCATCCGTTTGTGCTGACCTGTTTAACAAGACTTCAATGCAACATCTATGTGCAACCAGGAGAGCGATGCGACGGATGCGAGATTAGTTTCCTGGCACTCGTCCTCCATGCTTTTGTCTTCTCGCAGATGGGTACAGCAACTCCTGAGTACATCTCTCCTTCGGCCATTCAGTGTTCACCATACAGATGCCCTGTGGTTGCATTACCGAAAGCCAGTTTTATGAATATAGCTGTTTTGACCGATCCAAGAAGCGCATCTGTGATCCGTCGACCGACTGCACATTCTGTCAATCCAGTAAACGCATGGACAAACACTGCCAACCCTACCAGGGCGAGTTGACTCTGTCCGATTAGGAACAATAATATAAGTACAATATAACGGTTTAACTGTGGCTCCCTTTCGGTGCCTAGCTGCCGAGTGAAGCACGAGGGCTGGGTGTACTGCTAGGTTGTCCAAGCCTAGACAAGAATTTGGAACATTGAGTCCCTTCAATATAAGTACAACGGTTTAACTGTGGCTCCCTTTCGGTGCCTAGCTGCCGAGTGAAGCACGAGGGCTGGGTGTACTGCTAGGTTTTCCTAGCCTAGACAAGAATTTGGAACGTTGAGTCCCTTCAATCCATTTCATTAAGGCACATGAAAAAAGTATGGCGCGATGTGTTGACATTTCTTTTATCTTAAATCGCGCACATAAAACGTGCACGTCCATACACCGAGAACAAAGACCTCAATTGTAAAATGGACACTTATTGATACTTATCGGTCACTTGGCTAGTGGTATGGTAACCACATGATCTGAAGCAACACATTTTGCGCACACAGCGCTGACTGATAGGTCTTAATTAGTATGTTCAGTTTGGTCAGCCTGCAATGATCAAGGGTCATTTATCATTAGGTCCTATTTCCGTTACAATATAACCTGATGGACGTTTGAGCATTCTGCGGTTTAGTGCCAGAATACTTCTAAACTAAGAAGCGATACTGAGTCGATATCAGGCGGACGTTCTTCCATTTCCGTGACGGCTGATTGAACAGAATGCACGAAGCAGAATACAGTACTAGTTGCTGTCATAGCTTTTTCGATGCGTAAAACGTATGCTTTCATCGCGAAATGTGTTCATTTGAAAACCAATTTGGTTTTTATGGGGGGGGGGGCTCAACCAAATCCCAGCTGAATCTGCGATGTCTCGAATACCGTAACAAGTGGAACATGACGCGGTCTTTGGGGCGCACATTCAGTTGAGTGAGAGGTTCAGTTAAGTCTGCCATTAAAATTTACGAATGAGCGTATTTCGCGAATTACACGCAATTCGGGTTGAGATCAAACATAAAGTTGACGGAAACTCGGACCGTCTCAAGGATGGTGGAACCGGTCGCGGTCTGCGTAAGACTTTCTAGTGAGTAGTATATTCCTTCATGAAAATATGGGCGCTGGGGCGAGATGGCTCAGGTGGTTAGAGCGCGAATCTACTAACTGGAAGGTCCGTGGTTCGAACCCGACCTCCGCCTCTCGACTTCCCCTGTCTAGGCTTGGGCAACCTGGCAGTATCCCAGCCCTCGTGCTTCCTTCGTGTGGCATGGCAGCTAGGTACCGGAAGGTTGCTACAGCTGAACGCTTTCTTTTTCTTCTTTCTGTGGCGTTTAGTGAAGGATGATTTCTTGTTGGAAAGACATCCGTGACTGGGCTTTACTGGAATTCACTTTAGCCATCAGACTTTCTACCGAAGTTCTAATAAGAAATTATTTCATCATGGCCTACCTTGAAAGGCATGTAAGTTATCATATAGACTTGTTTAAAACTAAGTCGCGCTGTCTGTACCATCGATCACCGTATGTTTCCCGCTCGGCTTTTCTTGACGTACGGTTGAACGTGCATAGATGTAAGTCTGTATGTATGTGTATATTTCGGTCAGGCAATAATTACCTATTGTTGGTAATTGAGCAGGTGGCTGTTGATTTGTTCGCTGAGCTTGGCAACTGACTTGCAGACGTTTCGTCATCATTCGGGGAGGCATCTTCAGTGCGTTGTTGGGTGGCTGGTTCCTTTCCCCGCGCTTGCACTTGCAAAGAGCAGCCTATAACCTGATTGGCTATTGGCCATCATTATCGCATTCAGAGCCCTTTTGGTTTGATCGTGGTCTGTGTTCCGTGGTGGTCCGTCTTCCTGTTGTTTGATTGGTTTATTGTTTACCCTCTATATCTAGTTGTTTTCTTTCTTCATCGTGATTAGTCCGTATCCAATTCGCGTATTATAAGTATGAGCTTGGTGGGTTGATTAGCAGGGGGAGGGCTTCAGTTATTTTTCGTTGATTTGGTAGTCGCATTCGGTGAACCTTGATGAGAGTTGAAACGGCAACTTAATTGGACCGCCGTTTGTACACTGGAATTGAACTAACTGCCAACAGTTTGAGCCAACCTCTGTCTCATTACACAGTGTATTTGAAGTGTTGTTGACTACAAAAGGCTAGTGCAATTTGAAAAAAAAAACTGGGAAGCTTTGTTTATTTACCGTTACCCTTTTTCACTTTTACCGTCCCACACAGCTAGTGTGCCAGCTCCGTGCACCCTCTTGGCTCGATTGGCGGTAAGATTTTACTCCACACTTCTTTATTGTTCTCATCTGTTGTATAGTTGGTTTTCTGTAGCCTCGTTTTGCTCACCTCACAACCAATACAATCCGTGTATTCCCGTGGTCCTCTTTAGGTGCTTCTTAGCCGGCCATTTCACGGCAAAGGTCGTGGTCTCCCCATACTCCGCGTGTTGCGGTGCATGACGCGTTACTTTCACCAAAGTCTTCCAACTCTATGGGATGCGGTGATCCCCCACATGCTACTCTACCTCAACCGTAAGTATTGGGTTTCTCCCCTTTTTTGTCGAAGAAACCCAAATGCGCTTTGTCGACCTGTGACCATCTCCACACGCCTAAATCCAGTTTTTTGATATTGGTTGATAATGCGGAGGAAAAAGACAACTCATTGTGCTTGTTTGTGATATCCACCTATCTTGTTTTTACAACTTATTTTGACAAACTGTTGGACCCAGTGGTTAGAGCGCGAATTTACTCATCAGAAGGTCCGTTGTTCGAGCCTGATCTCTGCTTCTCGACTTCCTCTGTCTAGGCTTGGGCAGCCTTGCAGTTAGGTACCGATAGGGTGCTACAGCTGAACGATTTTTAGTCCAGTTTCTCGAAAAACCCGGACATACATTTATCCGAATCCAAACGTTATTATCCACTAATTACCCATTTTAATTCACTCAACTCTGTAACAGTTAGACATCTGTTTACCCCATACACTTCTAATTCGTGCCGGGATCTTTGACCTGTTAATCTGTAGAAGGACTAATCGGTCTCGTTACGCACGCGTACAAACTTCGTACACGTAAACAATTCTTCCATTGTGGACATGAATGTTCACTCCCTGCATGCTGTGCGTAGAAGCAAACAGACAAACAGCGAACTCTTCTTGGAAGGTGTCTTCCTCCCCGCCATCACTAGCAACATTAGTGTTGCTCCGCTATCATTAATCTCATCGTTTTCACTCGGCTGTTTTGTTCTCTTCAGGCTTATATTTTCTGATCACTGCTTCATGATCGGCTGCTTGATTTTTTTCTGTCCTCTCGACTAACGTCATCACCTCAAAGGTATTTCTACCAGCCCTTTCGTTTGTTCCATTCTCCGTTTACGTTCAGAAGACCAGGACTTATCAGATGATCCCTCTATTACGGATAAGGACGTTGGGTTGCGCAAACCACAACAGTATCATCAGAGTCACTGGGAAGGTCTGACATTGAAGGTTAGTTCCCGAATGGTTGATCGCCGCAATTTTCCTTTCAAATCTCAAAGCTCGCTTTGTTTGTTGTTGCTCTCGGTCTGGTTCTAAGTTTTAACTTGCATTTGCTTGTAATGCCTCTCCAATAATACGGGTTCCTTTCCGAACGCTTTCATGCCTTCAAACTTTGGTTATGTCGCCTACTTTAACTCTCTCTCTCTCTACTCTTACACTGCAGCTCTTATCAAAGTCTATAGACCTGGTGGAAGATGACAAATGGACTTTAGCCCTACTACGGTCCTTCGAAAATCAGATACCGTTTTACGAAAGCATGATGGAAGAAAAGGTGCGTCACCGAAACATTCTTTAAGATATCTCTTTAACGGATGGCACACTTTGCTTAGCCTCTGATTCTTTAGAGGTAACCCTACTCCGCGGTGATCGGCACAACTTGGCTTTTGGAAGTTTCAGTAGTGCCGCGATGCCTTCGAGGCGTACCTGAAGGTTAGCCAGACAGCAGACAGCACAGCTAATTATCGCCTTTCTGCATGAGTTCGTACGACACCACTAGATGTTCAACTATAGACAGTACAGTTCTGCATCCTATCCGCATTGTTGCATCTCCCACGGATCTGAATTGAGTTGGGCAATTACACTGGCAACCCGTCTTCTGATTATAGTTTCGATATCTATTGTGGGGTTTGCGGGATACATACTGTTCATACTCACATCGCCTGACTTGGCCTAATTTTTCTGGTGCGAGCTCACCAGATTATAGTTTCATTATGGTAGGAGATTGTACAGTGCTGCCCTTCAGGGGAGATCGCCAATAGGATAGTGTACTTAGCCTCATTGTGGATGGCATCTCTTCACGTACACGACACTGTACATCATGGTTATCGTAGGCTTCAGTGGGAGTGGCGTTTCTTCGATAAGGTCCCGTTGTTGGTATAACTATACCGTATTTGTTCATGTACAGTTTTAAACGGAGTGCTATTACCTCTGCTGCTACTCTTACCTGCTAGTCCAAATCAGACCGTGAAATTCATAGTTGACGTTGCCCACTGACGATGGGGACTGTAACACTGACTGATCGTTTGTTTAACACAAGCCACCTGCTCATCGTTTACTCCGAAGACTTTAGTGTGAACCTGATGGTCAGTTTGTAACTTGTTTTACTTCGATTTGATGCATGGACAAACGAACTCGAGCAACACTAGATGCAATCAAACGACTATCAGAACCCAGCATCTGGGCGCTGCTCACATGGATAGCCATCACCACGCTTGTCAGAAGTTTCTATATACATGTAATCGACGAAATCAAATCAAGACAAGCTATTTTCCTTGATTTTTCCCGCTCGCATCTAACTCAAGATAAACAGCTTTTCAAACACGTGTTATTTAATGCATTTTGCAGCTAAAACATCGTTTTGTATTTTGACAGAGTACTATTAGGACCACTTTATTGATCCAATCTATAGCTCGCCTCGAACTTGCTCGCGGAGTCACCTAATAGTCTCGTAGAGTCGTGAATGCACTGTGTTTGTCTTAGTTGGCACCCATAGTTAATGGTCTCCTTACGAACACTTCAACAGTTCATTTAAGCCACTTGAAAAGTGATTTACAAATAATCGTCGCAGGTGACAGATGCAGGCAATGCTTGTTCCTATAGGCGATTCCCCTTTTCACAAGAATAGGACATTAGATGGGGGTGGTCGGGAAATGCTTTTGTAAACTGTCCAAGGATTAATCTGTCTTGGCCTGTGGCGCACCGTCAACCCCTGGGATCTTATCTACTTTGTGTTTAGGATATGTATGTCAGGCTATAAAAGGCGCATTATAACGTTCGCTGCTGACTAGGAAATCCTCCTCCGTAACGTTATTTGTAAAATTTTTAACCAGTTTGTTCTATATACTCCTTCCTTGAAACTGGAAAGCATACAAGAGATTACTTGATACTTAGTAGTTTTGCCATCGTCGTTAGAACGAATACTCATAATGTACCTCAACCATCTCACTCGTTTCCTGCTTTTGGGCTATTGTTTACGTTTAGAGCTTCCTGTTCCAATGTATCACCATGACATTATGCAAGTTGGATATGGATCATGTTATTGCTGAATCGCTAGAGTTGGTATTTCGGTCCACCAATCATGGAATCCCTCTTGAGCAAGAAGTGAGTCCTTCTTCAGGTCTGTGCTCCAGATATACCGTTTGATGAATTCGCATAACTTGATCATACATTTTCATCTCCATTTCCATTCACATTTGTTATTAGGGTTGCGTCGCTGCATTGGGAAGGATTGCTGCAACGCACAATCATGTGTTGTTCAATTTCCTATACAATGAACAGGTGAAACTGGACTCTTATGTCAGCTCCTCTGTTCCCAGTACTACTAACGGCACTCCTAGTAGTATAGCTAAGCTTTCGAAGTATTCGGGCTCAACCGTGTCCGTCGTCATTCCAACTGGTTCACCCAATCGTCGTCTGTCCAATTTATTTCGATCCACAGTCTCCTTCAAAGCCTCTAGTCCTCCGTCACCTGGTGAAGATCGGCCACTACCACACAACTTCCGCGGTTCGGTTGAACAGGCCAGGGCTACCATCATATGGACTTATGCCAGTGCGATGGATAAGATGAGCCTAGATGCATTCAGCTCATGTGTGGACACTGTTCTGAAAGCCGTGATCTTTCCAGTCGTTCAGCAGATGAATGGAGTAAGTGGTTTGTGGTGTATAGATGTGGAATTAATAGAACAGGAATGTGTATATCAGCCACATGAGCAGGTTTGAAGTGTACAGTAGATCTGTAACGCTCACAGCTCATCCGAAAAGGCTTTTCCTCTCGGTTTCTAGCTATATAATGAGAGTGCATGCAAATACACACATGATCGGAGAACTAAGAAAGGAACAACGCGAAGTGAGAAGCATGTGAGCCTCAGAAAGAGGATCGCACAAAGAAATCCGGAAATTAGTGGTTTTCTACGTCCTGGAATACCATAAGAAAACTCGGTGCAGCAATCGACGTACCGACAGATAATTTCGTACTAGTGTTTCGCGGCACTTTACCAAGACACTGTTTCAGATCAACCTGTTAGCTTAATTATCTGTTTGCTATGCATTTGTATGTGGCTCTGCTGTGTTCGCTTTTAGGTGCTTGCTTTTATTAGCTTTAGTGTACGAACGCTCTTCAGAGTGATTGGCTGTTAGTTTATTATGCGGAGCCAGGTGACTGTTGAAAATCGCTTCCAGTTTTGCCTGTCAAACCAGACTACGCTGGTGGACGCGCCCCAAGAGGTTAGCACTGAACCGCACGTTCAACCAGCCCTCGGTGTGACCCCGAGGGAACAAAATCAGAGGATAAACAGGCGCGCACTTCTAAAGCCATTCGCATGCTTACCTGTTGACTTAAATTTGTCAACTGGGGACAACTATACGGTTGAGGCTCACAGTAAGATCGTCTGGTGGCCGGAATGCTCTATAGACTTACCCAAAGAATACTTAACTGGGTTGTGCAAGCCATCATTTTGCTCATTCTGTGCGGTGGTGGTTGCAGAGAGCCACTTGCAGCTTCGTTGTAGGACCCAAAACTCCGGGATGTTCAGTTTTGTGGTGAGCCATTTGAAGATGTATGCATGAAATATACGTTGAATGAACTGTTTGAAATTAGATGCCCAGCTACCTAGAGTGAACAGCGATACAGACCTGGGGACGCAGCAAGTACTGTCACCAGATCGGTCAGTACAGCGGTCGTCCGTTAGGCCGGAGTTCGGCCGTCCGTATTCCTCCCCAGGCATCTATTCCCGTTCATACTGCATGTAACCAGCCTCTTATTTCAAGATCCTTCCCCACTTTCTAACAATAGAATGTAATAAACTAAAATGTAAAGCCATACAACGCACTACTGGGTACACAAAATGAATTTTAGGTATCAGAAAAACAAACGGACAACTTGGCAACCCAACCTAGAAGATTTCAGTGGCTAGAAATTTAAGATTAGCTTAAATCAGACGGAGTTTTAGGAAACTTTTGGATTTTCTACTGCTGTACCTAGCAGGATGGTGCTAATGCAAGTCTCCACGCTGCTATAACCGATACCCACACAAACAAAGGTAGTTCACTTTTGTCCTACCACCAACTTTGTTGGCTCTGACCACTCAGACTCTTGCCCACGGAGGATGATTTGTGACACTTCTGTTCTGATCTATGCTTTTCGATTATTAACTTCGGTCAGATTGCTTTCAACACATACCTACATTTTTTCAACGTTCATTTATTCACGTTCCGTGATGATCACAGTCATATTATGTGTCACGGGTGAGTTGCGCATATTTCCGGTAATCTCAGATTTATTTGCATTGTCATAACGAAATCCCCACTACATGAGGAACTTCATCTAGCAAACATTTCGAGGGTGGCACTTTTGCGATGTGTATCGTCCTCTCCTATAATTGGACACCTCTAAAACAATGATTCCCAATATGATTTTTCAGCTTGCACGCCGTTCATTCTCCCTCGAAAATTTACTGGCAGATGGCATAAAACTAGTGATAAGTGGTAGATGAAAAAGGTTACCATTACTATAACGTACTACTCATAAGGTTGCCGAAAATCCGCCTGGTAGCATCACAAACGAGAGGTCCAGCTGGGTTCCAGGCGTTGTTGTTTTTCATTTTGGGACGAGAACGAAATGAAACCTAGCGTCCCATAAGCAGAGAGGTATCTAGCGTAGGAACGTATACTGGAGTGGAACACAATAATCAAGATGGATTCGTATACATCAAATTTAACAAGAACAGCCTTGACACCAGCCATAGTATGTCCGTCTGATGGCACACCGACCAGTAGTTTCGTAGCGGAGGAGGAGATCATCCGTTGTGGGGGGAAGCTGAATCAGTATAGCAATACCAACTTCAGTCTCATAACGAATCCGGTCATACCTACTCATCTAATTTGGGTCCTGAGCATGCAGTGGTAATGTTTCACCTCTTCACTTTTGTCTGTTCATCAGAGCTGCCTCCTCTGTCGTTCGACTGTCCGTTGTAGTTTCAGCAGATGTGTTTTGTGTAATAGAGGGACGCAACAGAGAATCGGGTAATTGTACGTGACTGGGACTGAAAGTGTAGTGGAGTTCACATACGTATAACAGCTACAACCCGGAAACGAATGTAACATACAAGACTGCTTATATACCCAAAAGACAATATGTTATTTTCGCAACATGCTACTTTCCCTGTTTGTGTAGCGTTTCACTGACAAACCCAAAACAGGGTGAGATGCTGCGCCTCAGTTGGTGTTAGTGTTACTGCTGTGCTTCTTTTACACGTCTTCTTTGTTGTGGTGATACTCGAACCAATTTTTTTCAGGTCCTTTGTCTTCAGGCCACAGTGACTGAACTCTGCAGCAGTATCGCCAGAACCTTCCGGAAACACTTGGCTGACAAACCCGAGCCCTCTTTAATCAATCTGAGCAGTGCTATCCACGACGATCTCCTGCAGTCGCTTTTAAGAGTGCTTGGCCACGAGTTGTCGATATCTCAATCTGCCGCCATCTCTACTTCGCGGCCAAAAGGGGATTCGGCGCCATGCCTTTGCATTCAGTTACGATACGCCTTGCTGGTTACCGCTCTGGATATAACGTATCCTTTTCGCATCACCAGTTGGTGTGGCAAGTTGGCTTACCACGTTAACTTTCCTACTCCTCAACCTTCTGAAACACGTAGAAGACATTTGGCGGGATACAGTCGTTTGTAAACCACATTTTCGTTCACGAGAGACACCACTGAATCCTCGTTTATGAACTTATTCAACTGACTCGAAGACCACCCAGTGTTCCAGTTGGCAGGACATTCGACATACTTTGGTATATTTCCTTGCCACTGCGCATGGAGGAACCGTCTTCAGCAAGTTTATGCGTGGCGTGTTACGTCTAGGAGGCTTTTGATTAAACTGTCGGGGGGGGGACTATGTCGTCCCTCCTCGNGCCTTTGAGTAAACCACCGGGGGGGGGGAATATGTCGTCCCTCCTCGGATAGGCTCTTTTATTACGGTTACTTGCACTCAGAAAATCTGACAGTATTCCATTCATCATGTTTCCTTCGGGTTGCTTGCTTGCTGCACGTTCAGTTGTTAGGCTTTTCTCATTTCTCAGATTTTTGGATATACATTCCATCCCGATCGGGAGTAAACAAAGCTGTGCATACCAATGAATAAACCATGATTTTGTGACCCACTACTGATAAGGTTGTTGAAAACCCTGACGTCATGAATGAGATGTTCAGTTGGGTGTCCCCTGTGGAAACCGAATGAGCGTATTTCGCTAAGCACAATGTTTTTGTGGCCCGTTATTGGGCCAGTATCGTGTAAACGACTATCTTTACACTTCATACAATCACATGACATAACCCCAACCAACCAATGGGCTAATGGTTATCGCATGGACTGGTAGTCATACCAGTTGCAATCTATCAAGAATCCATTTCCTTGCCTCTGTCATAGGCAACAAATATGTGTATTACTCGGAAGTATATTCGTCAAAAATGAAGCGACGGTATCACAGATTCTAAACACTGATGGTTTCTGAGTCCTCATTTTACGGTGGAGCTGGCATCGTATGTAATGTTTTGCGCACGTGCAGCTCTCCTTCCCAGTTTCCTGAAGCGTACAACGCCTTATACTGACTGGTTCTTGCGATTGGATGCCATATTAGGGATGAAACAGGCGAGCTGTTTCCAGCTGCGCTACATAATAGATTATTTATATGATGTTTTCGCCTTGCTGTGCCGAGTTATTTTTTGTGGTTCGTCTGTCTCTCTTGGTTAAATGGTGCCAGTAGGGTGGGTGAAGTGTTTCGGGGAATGATTTGAGGTACAAGGCTTCTATTGGTGATGGCCAAGCCAGATAGAGCCGTCGATCTTATCTTAGGAAAATGCAGATTTTTGAAAAGTTCTCTCTAAACGGGATTCTAAAACACGTTATTTCTACGCAGCATGAGTGTTATTTTCAAAATAACAGCTCAAGACCCCTTCCCCATCGGCACGCGAGTTCAACATTTTTTATTTTTGTCCGATCAAGGAGCTGCTGGATTTGGTAACATCTTGTGGTGTACCGAATTCGCATGAGCTCGAGTGGACATCTGTTAGTCCAGCTGTTGGCAGATTCAGCTCCACAGCCTTGGTATGAGCCGTTCATTACGCTTCACCTTCTGACTTTACCAAGGCTAGTTGGCTACCAGTTTTATTGAACCCAGCTATTCCTATCGCCACTGTTATGTGATTGCCCACTGTACCAGGGCGGCCTCCTTGCCACATTTCTCTGCTGGTCGGTTTCATATTTCCGTTCAGTAAATTGTTTCGTCCTGAAAGCGATCTTTTCAAGCTCACTGTTTGGAAGCTGTCTTTGTTAACTCCACCGGGCACTGATGACGAAATGAAGATGAAGTAATTAGTCAAGAAATCGATTAACTGTCTTCTCGGCTAACGGTTTTCATACCTCTCAATAGTGTCAGCGCACGGGGAATATGAGGCAAATTGACTTCTGATTTTTGCTCGTGGGTTGAGTTTTGTTAGGAAACTCGATGGATTGAGAACTGTCTTCTGATGAAAGCTAGGAATAGATTTTTACTGCTCTCAAGTGGTCAAATTTCTTAGCATACCTTGTCGTTTTTCTTAGGCGTATTCTTCGACGTATTCGGGAAAGCCCACTTGAATGACGCACACAATCACAAGCCAGAAATTGTGGGTTCTTGAGATTTATCAAAAGATGCGGTACTACATGTATAAAGTACATAATAAAAGGAGTAAAAACCTCAAATCATGGGGGTTTCCGTCTAAACCGTTGCACAAAGTAGCACACGTCCAAGGAAAGGCCGAAGAAGATGGCAAATCGTTCTTTGTTTGCGACATGCCTATCAAAAGATGCGGTACTACACTACATGTATACATAATAAAAGGAGTAAAAACCTCAAATCATGGGGGTTTCCGTCTAAACCGTTGCACAAAGTAGCGCACGTCCAAGGAAAGGCCGAAGAAGATGGCAAATCGTTCTTTGTTTGCGACATGCCAGGGTGCAACACGTGGTAACGTAAAATGGTCAAAAAGCGCGCGCAACAGATGGTCGACCAAATTCGCTCGACAAGTCAAGGGTTAAAAAGTCCGAGGGATTACAAATGCATATCGAGTCTATGAAGTGGACGCAGTGAAAAGCAGCAGACAAGGGAAGGGTTTGACTGGGGAAAAGGAAGTCCAGTGGGTGTATCAACAAACTAATATACCACTGCGAGACCAACATTTTGACACAATATAGGCGCCGCTGCACTATTTTTCTACCATTTGTTCGCGTTTGTCTTGTATTTTGCGAAAACCGGGATGCTTGGAAATAATATTTTTTCGTTTCCTTGGTACAGCTAGTTTTCCACGTGTTTGATAATTAAACTGTCGTTGTTATTGCTGGCAGACCTCAACGCCAATAAAAATAGTCTCTTAAGCAGTGACAGAAAAACCTCTCAGGTTACCGAGCTCTTACAGTCCACTGCGGGGGCTATCCTCCCAGTTCTGATCAATTCTGGTGTGACGATTCTGGACTATTCAGAGGCAATTTTATCGTCTATGGAGTCGAAACAGTCTGCTTTCACAAGTGCGGAACGTGTTTCACCAGCTCAATTACTTCAGGACTCCGATCCATCTCTGTGGCATTCGCGGTGTTTGACAAGTTTACATCAGCTGTGGACCGCGCTGCTTCGTCTTCAATGTTGTGAGGAGCTCATTTCGGAAATGTGTAAGGTAAGTGCTTTATCCCAGCTTGTAGGTTCTCAGTTTGTTTAGTCGACGGCTCGACTCGGTGGCGACCCACTTTCAAGGTCGTGGAAAACAAAGTACAAAGCCTGTTTCTGATTTCCATTACTCACAGTAGACTTCTTCTGAGCTGCGCCCCTACTTGCTGACATTCATAAACCTGGCTGAAATTACGTCGCTTTCTTAGCTGAGAGAGAAAAATACGTAAACGTAAAGCTGATGGACACGTTTATGCGACATTTTCATAGGACTTCTTGGGCATTCGATGTGAGTGGTGTTCCCAGAATTATTAGATTTTTTGCCCGAGGTCGCATAGCTGACATCCGTACGGTAACGGGCAACCCATAAAGAATGAAGGATTAATTCAATTGTCCACTGGTGGTTCTGTAGTCCTAAGCTTTGTGATCGTGACACAGGCCTACTCTGGCATAACTCAGTAGATTTCTGAGGAACTCAAATCAGGCTCACTTTCCTCGCAACTGATTATGTTTACCTACCCTCTTGGAGATGACTCTAATCAGGGACGACTCACATTTACCCATTTCACTTAAATATTCCCAGTTTGCGATTGATTTTGTTATGTAGGATTCAATGATCCACTCGTTAGCGAATAATGTACCGTTCCCCTTTTGCTACAGAATACACTCATTTGATCCATGTCGCTTGCTAGGAATATTCTTTAGTCATCTTCTCAACACTTTATGAATGTTGCGTCTACTCAGGTACTGATCCCCTATCTCTACGATCCGTCTTTCGTGGTCAATGTACGTGCAGTATGCTTATTGATCTCCATCCTGGCCACTATACTTTCGGAACTTCAACTGGTGAACAAGGTAGGTACGCCTGCGTTTTTTGTGGATGTCGCTTCGTAAAAATGAGTCTGAGTGATTGTAACATGTAAACGCGCTCGCTGTGACCGGCGAAATTTTCTTCTCCAATGGGACCGTTCTTTATTCTTTTTACCTACTGTTCGCAGTAGTCACTGTATAGATCCGGGTCCCCATAACTAAGCGGCTTCGGAAAATTCGGCTTTACTGAATACCACACTTTTTTTAAATGTGTCCTTCTGAGTCCGCTTAACCTGTGTTCCCGATGCAATGAAATGCGAAACTCTTCCATGCCACGGTTATTGACTTTCTTCACATTGGTTCAAACCAGCCGGTCAAACGACTGACTACAAAAGGTTGGCGAATGTCCCGTAGCTATAGGCCATTCCTAACTTGGGTCTGAGCTTTTTCTGAGGATACGCATCTTCTGTTCTATCCTGTCGCTTTCTTTATTGGAACCTTAACTGTGTTTTTCATATCGTGATAGATAGTGATGAGGTCAAGGCGAAACCCAGTCGCCTGTGCTAGATATTCATAAGGCCAGTATGTGACTCAAACTCATTTTGGTTGTGATTTTTCACAGATTTGGGCTTCGGGATCTTATCGTTATATGTATTCAATGAGTTGACCGACTTGTATACTTGAGGTACTCAAACAACCTACCTACTTAGAGGAGCAGGTTGCTGTCATTCTGCGTGAGCAATCCTTTACTCAGGTGGTAGCAGATTTCGGGACCGTTTTGTGATCTCCAAAGGATCACATTTTACGTTTAACAAATCACCTTGTATGTCATGAAGGAGCCCAAATGTGCTCAACCATAACCCGACACATTCCTAGTCCTTTCAACTGTTCTTTACTTAGTTCAAGAGATAATTCCGAACGGCGTGGTCCATTGTGAGTGAGCAACGTGGATGGATGAAACGTATACATACTACCGCTATCCACTTAGCTGTAACGTTGTTACCAATAAGGTATGAATAGCACATTATTTATTATGCAAAATGAAAAAAAGCGAATGAATAGGTTAATGAAAATGAATGAATCCTAATCAGTGACACCAGTAGCAGTAATATCATTGCTTCACTGGTTATGACGCCTCTGTTTAAGGGCGCCACGCTACCTTCCGAAGCAGTGAGCCTGAACTCCGATATTCTTCAGGTATACTTATTTCTGGTGAATATAAATGGACATATCCTTGTAACTGCACCTATAGTTTCCAGATGAACTGTCCCGGGTCTTAGTCGTATTTCCCAGACGCGTACTGTTTGCCAGGAAGTGAATTTCACCTATTCAACGCTGAAATACACACTAAGGCTGTTTTCACATTGTTTTTACGGTTCCGTACTTGTTGTTTGTCGGGGTGTGGCTGCGACGAATCAGCACAGTCGTTGGAGTATTGATGCATCACACTGCTTGCAACAACACGGTGACAAGTTGGCACCATATCACGTGCATCTGAATGCTTGTGTGGTACGCAATAACCGAAATAAGGAAGAACAACCGTTGGCTAAGTGATCAAGTCGGGTAGTGAACCTGCCGCTCGTGTTGTTCGTATACCACGGTTCAATATAAACCAATGCAGACAGTTTGTCATTCATATGTGGTTGATCTTACTGTTGATCAACGAATTGAACCGTGGGTACCAATGCAGTTGTTCCCAGTTGAACTTTGTGATGCAAGAGTTGGTTAGGGTCATGAAAGTCAGGCTTCCCCACGGTATAACATGGTCGAGGATCAGGACGGGTGAATTGGAGTCAGTTCCAGGAGTGGAATGTGACCGTCCAGTAAGCACCGAATGAACAAGCCGCGGCAACCAGTCAAGATGTATAGGGTAGGATGCCAATGATACACATATAGGCCTTGGGACAGAGTGGGTTGGCGGACTATACATACTACTGATGTCCGTCGCGTGTAGTACCGTCCCTAAACCGTTAAAAACATTGTGTCTACAGATACCCAATCGTTTCGTTCGAACGGGCTTTTTTCGAGCACACCCCGTTACTGTCTGACCTTAAAGGTCCGCTCAAAAAAGCCCTCAACTAAGTCTGACCACACTGAGTTTTTCAAAAGTTGATGCAAATGGGTCTCTTGCTGTTGCTCCGTTTGTCTTCTGTTTGGGGATTCTTTCGTTTTCGGCAGTAAACAACTCTGTGCCTGATCAACCTCTTCAACATTTACTGGGAACGATATCTACTCAGATACCCTAATGAACCTGTTCACCAAGGGTACTGCTTTTTTTCACATCAGCGGTGTGCTTTTGGACTACAGGACTTGAGGTGTGCTGAAGCGGATCCTTCACATGTTTTGGTTGACCATATAATCCAAGTTACTGCGACCTTGTCTTTCCACCTAACTGTATTTCTTAGCACTGCTTGATTGATTACATAAGCGGCGAAACGGGGACATGTTCCAACTGCACGATACTGCCACATGTTTATTAGATAGATCGGTTGACCTTTTCTGGCGCTGCCAATGTGCTGACGCCTTCGAAAGCTAATCAGTCCAACCGTAGTGGATGTTTCATTTGAACGTTTTGGTCCACCTCACACACACTGACGGTGTGATCGCACACAGTAACGTGGGTTGTCGAATTTATCACAATACCTAAAGCTTCCGACTTGCTATGTTCTCAGGACTGTGATTTCAGGTACATATTGACTGACATGACAATGTCGGAGCCGGCCCTATGTGAAGAGGGTGACTGCGATACCCAAGATCGTTAAAACATACAACCCTGTTTCATGCGCATGCGGATGTTGAACTGCGTCTCTGTGCTTTCTGGCGGTGGATGTAGTCTTCCGAAGCCAACTCAGTGTAGTGTGAGTTGCCTCGAACCGTCGCGTCACGGACTGCCATGTATCCGAAGATAGTATCTGTATCACTTCCTAACGCAATACCTGGTCTTCGTTTGACCAGCTCACGTGTACAGTCATGTTGCGACGAGCCTGACTTTTTTTGACTGTTCATTCGAAATTTAGTTTTCCGAGCTTTCATTCTATGTTAATTGGATTCGTGACATTTTACCCTCCATTCTCCCTCCCAAACGGCATGCACTATTTCAATCCATAGGAGTCTACTTTTAGTTTGCGGCGAGTAAGTTGGCACGCGACACATCGACTACATTTTTTCACGGTGTTGGTAAATTGCATGGACTAACGGTTGCTACGCACCAGCTTTCCCTGGCTTAGCGTGTATCGATCACCTGACTTTGCTTTTGAAACGCAACGCGCCCTGATGGGAATACCGTACCCACAGCTCAGTAGCATCGGATAAGCCAAACCGGAGTTATACTTGGTGGTCGCACGACTGTTTTATATTAGTTCCCTATATGCTCATGAATGTTGAGTGCCTCGCATTATCCCGCGTTGTTGAACATTTTAACATTCATCTAGCGCTTTGCATATTAGCTCACTTGGTGCTTTACTAAACTCGGGTGGGGAAATGAGTATTTGCTCTTGTCCGTTCGCTTCTAGTTCGTTCAATTCCTCGGGAATTTCCTCGAATTTCAGGGAAGTTATGTTTTTTGATAATCGTGGCTTCAGCATATCGTAGCTACAGAAAGCTTGTGTATTGTACGGCCCGTTTTGAATGTTGTGAAGCTGCGATTCTAATTGGTTGCCCCTGATATATGTCCAATTTGAAATGAGGAGACCCTTCAAAGTTGAGTACGGTTGGCCCGTTTCGAAAAAAAAGACATTCGAATGCATTGACTACAAGCGAATTGGGAACTCACTGTTTGAATTTCAAGGAACTAGTCGCTCCTTTTGAATGGATTTCAGAATATTCTAGTGGTGAAGCCAGTCCTTGCTGAGAAGCCAGAAACATTATACAGCTGTTTCATCCTTACCAACCCGCATCACCAGTGCGCATCTCCTGGCTAGATCGGTTAGTCAGCAGTTTGACTAATTCACACTTGGCAGATTTTTAAGCAGACAAGCTCAGTTTCTGTGAGTCTGTGTTTGGTCTTACACGTCAAGTGAACCTTTATTAAAAGGCCCAGAAGGGTTGTACTGCTGTTTCATTCTTATTGGGAATCGTTAGCGGTCACCGCCGCGTGAATCTCGAAAGAGCTTCGAATCCGTGGTCTTTGAGCCAACGGTGTGGACTGACAGTCGCGTTGCGTTGTCCTTCACTTTCAATTCAGCATTATCGAATTTCCGTTTGGTGAATCACGTCACCATTCTTCCTGACATTCATTCAATGTGACTTCCCTCGCCTCGATAGCCTTGACAGCAACTGACCTTGTTGTCTTGTTGATACACTCTGGCGCTAGAGGATTTTTCTCTATGATTCATTGGGTTCCACGGTCAATAGGTTTGGTAAAATAAAGATAAATCGTTCAGCCGTAGCACCCTTTCGGTGCCTAACTGCCATGCCAACCAAAGGAAGCAGGAGGGCTCGGATACCGCCAGGTTGCTGAAACTTAGACAGGGGAAGTCGAGCGGCAGAGGTCGGGTTCGAACCACGGACCTTCCGGTCACTAAATACGCACTGGAACTACTTGGGCCATCTCGCCCTCAGTTCGGAAAGAAAACAAAAGTTGCGTTCTTTTCAAATCTCTGGCCGCTTCCCTCCCTGTTACTGTTTTTGTTACCTTATGCCTCCGTTTTTCCCCATGATTAGTCAGCATGTCTATTCCCAAAGGTTCATGGTGCGAACGGATCAAGCAGTGTGTAATATACCTGCTTTTTAACCCTTTATGCCTTCTTTACTTCTTCCACATAGACAGCATCAAATCACCAGCTCTTTTCTCTTGCTAACATCACGTAATCACCAGTTTTTATTGTCGCTTCACAAATTGTGCATGTATTTTTGGGCTTCTAGATTGAGTTCATCGGCCGGCGCGTTTGCGCTCATTCTAGAGGCCTAATTCAGGGCTTTAAGCGATCATTGAATATGAATGCCCAGCAGGTTTTTGATTAATTTTTCTTACGCTTTTCCGTTTCCACGGCTGCGTAGAACGCCTGTGCTCCATCCGTGCTTGGCCAACTTGTGGGTCATCTTATCACATCCCTCGGCAGTTCAACTGACTGCAATCTACGGCGTCCATCCAAAGTAGCCTTGCAGCTGTTGCTACGGATTCAGAACCTTTTTCTCCTAACCGATCCTGAAGTGACCGAATCTGGTAAGCTGTAGGTGTTTGCTTATGCCTAACCGGTCGTTTGATTACTGTTGTCCTTCGTTATGGCTGTCTCATTCATGTTTTACCTCTTATAACTCAGGTATCTAGCTCCCGCAAGATGGCTCAAGTGGTTAGAGCGCGAATTTACTGGCTGCAAGGTCCGTGGTTCGAACCCGACATCTACCTCTTGACTTCCGCTGTCTAGGTTTGGGCAACCTGGCAGTATCCCAGCCCTCGTGCCTCCTTCGTTTGGCATGGCAACTAGGTACCGGAAAGGTGTTATGGTTGAAAGATTTTTTTCCAGCTCCCGCTGCAGGTGTTACATATTGGGAAGTCTGGCTGTTAGTCCTTGACGGATCCTATGTGTAGTTTTGGTCCATAAACTTGATGCTCACCAGCTAACTTCCGTAGTTTCAATAGTAGGCCATCCGTCCGGCAAGTGGGCGCTTGTTTTTCTGCACCTATTACTGTCATGGCGACAAGTTTCATTGTACTGACATTGGCAGAATCACATTGCTAACAGGTGAGGTGGATTAATGTGCTTGGAGTGTGTTATCTGTAGTGACGGCAGGTTGTAGCGAACTAACTCACTTGTGGTCAGGTACTCTATCCGGCTATGTAAACCAATGCTAATCATCGCCAACCTAAACCCTGCCCTGACCTTATCAACCTGACTGGAAGATGCATGTCACTGTCTTTGGTAACATATCAGTCCCGCACATTCTGAACTTACATCTTACGTTAGTAGTACCGTATAGAAACTCAGCTCCGACTTTGTCTTGCCTTTCCGGAGGTTCTGCTATTACGCGTCACTCGAAGATACCGTTTTGCAATAATAATAGTCCTTCAGGTGTAGAACCCTTTCGGTACCTAGCTGTCATGCCAACAGAAGAAAGCACGAGGGTTGAGATACTCTGAGGTTGTCCCGAGTAATCAATCGTTCGGTGGCATGCAAAAATCTGCAGGTATTTTGTATCAACCTTGTCCCACAGTACCGACAGAGCCGAAAGTGTATGAAGGACAAAATTGTGGTAGCACATTTCCAACGGGCCCTGTGAATGAAACAAATGGATATTTTCGGTTGCGCACAGACTTTCCCCAATCTTTCGCTTATTACCAATCATGAAACGGAGTTGTGCATTATCAATGGCTGCGTAAATCTAGGTGGCGCATTTTTTCGCCGCATCTGACGTCAGGTTTCTTGGTCGTAGTGATATCAGGCTGCTTGAGTGGTTTACGCCAGAACGACTGCATAACGAAAACAGCTTCACTGCACACATTCAATGTAGTTGGTGTTATATTTTAGTGTGTTTCTTTTTCATGACATATTCACTTCATAGGATAGTGGTATTGCTCGGATGAGCTGCGCTTTGTTGAGCAGGGACTTGGTATCTTCTGCAGTCTAGTCGAAAACGCTGCAGTGCTTTCACTGCGAATCAACTCATTTTCCAGGATCGGACAATGAGACGCATAAGGTATAATGTGTTTACTTTTATTTTCTGGCGAGAATGTTGATGACGAAGGAGAGCTCCGCCGCTGATCACGAAGATTGTTACCGATTTTCTAGTGTTTGCTTTTAAAATGCAATCGGAGTATTCATCTTGTCGTCTTCATCTTGACGAATTCATTCAGTCACAAGGTGACGTTGAACAAGACGTCAGAAGTGTGCCTTTCTTGCCAATGTCCTCATATTAAGAGGTTTTACTGTATAACATGATGATATGAGCTGAACGGGAAAAGTGCATCTAATCATCATGGTGCAAAGGTTCTCCGTTACCTTTTCAGATGGATTCAAACACATGTTGAATTTGCTTCCTTAAGTATCAACGTTCATGATGCAGGTCTCACGTTGCCTGGCATAACAATGTCAAGTGCTGACTTAGAACAGACAGCTGAAGAGCCACCGACCTGCCCAATAAGGGTTGACGGAACTACTAGTGATCGGCGTCTGACGAGTATTTCCTTAGCAAAAAGTGTACTTCGAATGCGATAAATCAGCTAGGTTAATAGCCACGCATTGTGCTCGCATCATTTGGCCCACTGTTATGAACTATTCGTTTAAACATGACTGCAGTCAAATAGTAAAGGATGTGCAAATCATATTCCAAGAGATTTCTCTAGTTCTTTACTCTGGCGCTCCAACATGCTTGTAAAATAACCCAGCGAGAAATTCGGTTCAGACATGTACCGCTGGTGGTATAACCTCTCCTGATCACTAGAGATTCGTTATTTACTGCTTGTCTCTGATCTTATGCTTCGTTAGTCTGAACACCGGTGTTTTTTAACACCAGGTTTTCCCAATCCACTGTCTACAGCGATTTCACACAATGGGGTGGCTAAGAAATCCCAAGAAAAAGATGACTTGGATACTGGAATCAAGCCTGCAGATGTGCTCATTTGTGAACTGGCTTACTCGTTCCCAAAACCTCAGTTGAATGCCTTAGTGGAGTTCGTCGCCAACGGTTTAGCTACTGCACCGAAAACCGTCGATGGCTTACAGAGTAAGTTTTACTTGGCAGTGTTTGTTCGTCTCCAAAATCTCTTTATCAGCAATGTGCCTCTCCTGATTCTTTCCCCTCATCTTATCTCTACACTTTCAGAGTCTCATCAAAGCTCAGATGATGATGATGACCGGGAGGCAGATGAGGAAGCTGCTTCGGATTACTTTACAACACACGAACGTTCAGCGTCGGAAGACAACCAGTCTCCGGCTAGGGTGTTCAGTTTGAAGAGACTGAGAAAGCCCCGTGACGCAAAATGCCATCAGGATACGATCCGAAATTCCCCTGTCAGCGAAGCATGTGTTGAACTGAGAAAGTTGTACCGTCAACTAAATCTGCCTCGAACAAGGCAAGGATACTTGATACGCTTACTATGTGCTATCTTATACCACTGGGTTGGAGAGCTAGATGAGGACCACGTGAGTTCCATTCGCTCTTGTGTAATAGGTTTGCTCTACTCACGTCATAACAGCTTTGTGTTTTGATTTCTACAGCTGACTAAAGCTTATCCGGTTACTCCCTCATTCTTCCACCGTTTCATCATAAGCCTATGATCATCTGTAAGCGGAAGATACTCTTCGATCTTCTCACACTTTGTGCACGGCTTTTGTTTTCCGTTACGTAAGTCGAAAAATTAGGTTTGCCTCAGGTACCCCATCCGGAGCATTCTCATTGTTCCTGTACGCAGTCTGACCCACGAAGTATCATTTTCGGCATCCTTAGGATGCGCTCTCTGGAGCGAATTATTTAACAAGTTAACCCATTTGGATGTGCGAATGCTTGAGGAAGTTAGGAGTGACGAATGGATGTCTAGCTCCTGCTGCCTCAGATGCCTTTAGTTCTGCCTTCAGCTCTTGATAAGAATCAGCTTCACGGCCATATTGGCTAATTCGCCGCCGTCAAGGGCACAGTTTGGATGATTTGTGTATACGGTTTGTAGAAACGATATTTATTAACCAACCTCTTTGAGGAAGGCTCTCATAAAAATGGGCAAGAGGAGAAACAACCTACCGTTTCGCTACGTCGCGCAACCTCCATGGCTATCCCGGATCGCCTCAGCATAAGGGACTCGATATTGTCTGCCCAGCTGATCTCCCGGTATGGTTAAACTATGGCAAACGGAGTCCCGACCCGTGCAACCCATAGGTTAGTTGCCAGGCTCTAGCGTTTGTAGGCTAGCTTCTCGCTAGTTTAGGGGGTCTGTAAGTGCTGCCCCGTATCAGCCTCGTGGAGTTAGTTCCCTAAGTATATTTGTACTTCACTGCATCGCACCTTGTACCGCCGTCATAATCTCTTTTCACTTTCTCGTGTCAGGTTGGTGCTCTTCTGCGTACAATTCACTGTGTCTATCCACATCTGAGCCAGTCAGAAGTCCGCGCTGGTCTGCTTCATGTCACTGCTGAGTTGGGACGTCGATGGCCACTGTTGTGTCTGCGCGTTATTTCTGCCGGCCCTTTGCCATTAGACAAGTATGAGTACACATGCATTTTGCATTTTTCACCAATGTTCAAAACAAAACTGGTAGAGAATAAATTTAGTAGATAAGGTCCATTGTCTGACGGATTACAAATCACCTTCGATGTTTACGATACTGTTAGCTTGTGTAAACACGGCATCCTGCTTTTTATGCTTACTTCGTCAACAGTGAATATTACTCAATTGAGCTTGGCTTTATTTTCCAGCGTTTGGTGTACGTTGCTGGCTTCGATCGCATTTTTGCCCGTTCCTGTTCACTCGAGTGCAAACACCTCGTCCGTGTTTTCTCTGAACGCCACTCTTCCTGAAGAACATCACATTGAGCATTTGCCTACATCTCTGTCCAGTACCGTCTTGTTTCCAAAATTGCTGATGCATGTGCTGAAGATGCTCGAATGTTGCCATCCGTATGAGAGACGAGAAATACCTGCGGATGCCTGGACTGCCGCGGACAGGCGCTGGCTTTTATGCGTTAGCGATAAGCCATTGCTTAAAGAGGCGAACTTTGCAACACATCTTTGGCTTTCCCTGGTTGACTGCCTTCAGGTTAGTAGGTGTTGACTTCCTGTTTATTATGTCTTCAGGTTCCATTTAAGACTCAACCAGGTTGTGTACGTCAACCCTCGTAAGGTGAACTGTCAAAGGGCCACCAAACTCAATTTGTTTGTTGTTTCTGTGTACGCACCCACTAGGTGCACATCATCAAATGACAAGTTCCGCTCTTAGCTGAATGAACTACCTAAAGCACTAGTTTCGGATATTGTAGGTCTAGTGGGAGACTTCAACGAATGCGTTCTTGGACCAAGTTCAGAAGAAGCTCTCCTTGGTGGCTCACACAGTCTCAGCGGACACAAGAATGACAATGTTTCTAACCGTGTTGACCTTCTGGTCGACAAACACGATCCAGTTTCAAAGTGTACAGCGATTCTTAGGAAGACGTAGAGGACCTATAACAGGCAATTTTGTTTTTAGCGCTTCCATAGCGGGCTAATCACGGCGCAGGCAATGACGCAAGCTGACAAAATAAAAGGAACATCGTGTGGCGCTTAGTTACGACACATTGTTCATATGACTGGGCCCTCATTAGGACACAGTGAGAGCATGTGTCCAGTGCAAAGTGATGCAAGGTAAATTAAATAAGTTGGCAGTTTGTGTATCCGATCTGCACATCCGGACCCACCATGACGCATCCTAGCGGCTAGTAAAATGGTATGCATAAAATAAAGCATTGGACGATGGCAAACAACGATCTTAAATCAAAGGTTGATGAGGGTCTCAGTGCTGTTATAAGCGTCTGCCACGGCTTTGGTTAAACAGTGGCTAATTATTCGAGCCATAGTGTTCCCCTTGAAATGTAGGTGTAAATATATGGTAAACAGAGATAAACATAGCATTCAAACGTTCCAACCCGTCATCACTGGACAGTAGCAGTCCGGTTTCGTGCCAATCGGTACTCGTTTGTTTTGGTTTCTGAAAAAGGTGGTCCTCGATAGGAACCAGTAGTACCTGAGAAACTGAAAGTTTCTATTCACCTTCAAATTATTTTTTGGTGTTTTGCCAGTCAGTCCAACGATAAATTTCTCAGACCCTTATCGGCGATAGGAAATTCGTGGGATCACTATAACAACCATCCCCAATTTTTTGAAAGCAAAATCTCTACTTGGATGATCGATAGGTTTATCTATCGTGTCATTGTTGTCATAAATGCATTGCCTTCTGTTGCTGACAAGATACATGAAAAATAGACTCACTGAGTTTCCGAAATGACTTATTGTTCTCGATAACGTGCACCCCATTTTACCTTGATCCTCAGTTTGCGAGCCATCAGTTGGGTTATCCAGACTGGTTGGTGGTATTCCCGTTTACATTAGATGAACTTTCAAAATCTGTAACGTTTATCAAATTCTTTGGCACAGATTCATGGTATTCATACTCGGGCTTCGTTAGGTTGCGTGCACAGTATTGCTTTTTCGAGGTACAGGTGACAGGAACCGATGGGAATTGTGCTGGTTGATCGTGTTTTCGTTCATTCCTTTGTGCTACGAAGATTCTCGTTTTACCGTTTCGGTGTGGTGCCTATGTTCTCCTATCTTCACTTGTGATATAGCCACCATCTGGCTTTCGCTGACCCGTGAATTATCGTGTACCCCAACGGAGAAACCGCCCAGGACCAAAGTGGTGACACCTTTTGGTTCAACAACTCGCCGGTTTACATCCCTGGAGAGGAAATCATGTTCAAAGCATCATTATCATCATCATGGACAGCATGACATCACTGTTCAACACTGACGCTTCGCTGCTGATGGAAGCAACTTCTCTCATCGACCCAGGACTTCAATGCGTTTGTGCTCAAAGCCTAGCTAATGCACCTAACCGCCACTTACTCAACTTCTTCCTGACCTTACTTTAGCCAACAGTCGATAACTTCGCCTTCGATACACATATAGTTTACTTCGCTCGAACGGTTGAAATTCCTGTTGATAGTACAGCTGAAGATCAGAATGAACCAGCGCAAAGCAACTCAGTACTTCCTGGAATCGCACTACATACCATTGTTTCCTTTGTTATTCAGGTTCGTGAGTGGGGGCAAGATGGTCCAAGTGGTTAGAGCGCAAATTTACTGACCGGAGGGTCAGTGCTTCGAACCCAACCTCTGCTTTTCGACTTCCCCTGTCTAGACTTCGGCAACCTGCCTTTGTGCTTCCTTCAGGTGGCGTGGCAGCTAAGCACCGGAAGGTTGCTACAGCTGAACGTACGGTTCATGAGTATACGTTGATCGTGGTCAGTATGGGAAGTAGCACCTCACGAAAACCACTGAAAAACAGGGATCCAAATGAAATCAAACTATTCATGTACAAAAATTATGCGGTAATGTTCCTCGTGCTCATCCGTCTGCAATGAGATAGCCCAGTAGAGAAAATTTTTGGAGCCTCTCAAGGACTACTGTATAAAGCGATTTTGGTAATAATTCAGCTTTTATCCTTAACTCAAATACCCATCGAATGCTAAAATCATTCGCTCATCTACTGTTATGTGGTCGCCTTTATATTCAGCGTTCTTCCCACTCCAGGTTTTGTCCTTCCCACGTCGCATGACCGAACTTATTCGAGAAAACACGGATCCAAACGAAGGCGACGAGTCTCCAGTTGCGCCCTTACATAAACCGACAACGAAGCAACGGGCGACACTGTTTCGTCGTTCAATGTCGTCTCCGGAGTCTGCGATTGTTACACCACGGCATTACACTCCTTGTTCATCTCCACTGGTTCATTTGTTCGGCGACCCTCAACTTTTCTCTCTTCTCCTCGGTCAATGGCTTCTGGCTTGTGCCACCGCAGCAATCTGTCGAACGTTGACTGGAAAATCCTATGAAACTCGATCTGGTGCCGAGGCCAATTTAAAGCAGGGAGTCAGGCCACTCACGTACGTTTTGCTCAGATCCTGAGTACTCTTATTATCAGTCTTTACCTTGTTTATTTTCGGTTTGGCACGTATATCTTATAAGTCGCATGGTGTCTACATTACTCCGTTTTCGGATAACTATGTTGTCGCGTGTAGTGTGGCCTTCGCCCTGGGCATAATGATATTTCATTGAGGTTCGAAAACGTGAGCAAGGTGGTCCGCTGTTGCACAACCTGCCTTGTTGGCCTGTTGGGTCGTGTAGTGGTGAAAATATTTCGTTCCAATCTGAACCGGAATCCAGGTATCCATTTGGCTTTCTGTTATCGGTCCCACTCGGCGAACTATTCAGACCATTCTACAGTATTCCACCCACGATTCACAGTCGTCAACAAGCGCCGATCTACCGAAGGTCGACTCACAATTAAACAAGAAAACGGTGAAATATTTTACTATCAGAAGACCTACGATAACGAATAATCGCGAAATCAATGCGAATAATTGTAGCCGCACAACAGTCCCATACTGATGATGTTTTCTACCGTTGGCCGTTTCCGAATACTCAACTACACCCTTTGAACCCATTTGTACAGTGGAGGTTCTGGAACTGCAAACATAACAGAGTCTTTTATATTCGTCATACTATCGGCGGCTTCTACCACAAAGTACAACGCATAGATTCCTTTGCGTTGATGTTCAAAAGATCTTCGTTGGTTTTGTATAATTTCTGTACTGGATTCGTGCGCTTTAAAGCTCACTAGTCAAGAGAAACGTCAGGAGTCTCATCTCATCAATCCTTAAGTGGTGCGTTTTGAACAGGGCAAAAGTTATAAGCAATTGCCCAGCACGGCTTACACCAAACTATGTAAATTGTTTGTGTGGTATTTGCAAGGACGTTTGGAACGAAAGTATCGATTTCCGTCAAATCTTTTGGTAGCCATTGAAGTGCAGCCGTTACAGCTAACCGATTTTCTCTCGCAGTGCGTGAGTTCTGGCAACATTTACTGTGTAAACATGAACTAGTGGTGTGTTGCTCATTGTCTATTGGATGCGGGTCGTAACAACCCAAAGCGAAGTTTACATAACTCCTTTTCGGTATTCATAGATGATTGAACCTATCCCTTCCATAACGCTGTGAGGGTTGCCTGGATGTGATTCGTGTTTTAATTTGGTGCTTTCATGTACCAGCAGTCGCCAGTATCCAGTGGAGTCCGCCGAGACCAATCTTTTCTGGTGGCTCAGGAACGTAAGGATGAGGAAATCATCAAAGACTCGGAGGAGAGAGAGCGTAGCCAGGGCAAGATGACTCAGTGGTTAGAGCGCGAATTTACTGACCGGAATGTCCGTGGTTCGAACCCGACCTCTGCAGCTCGACTTCCCCTGTATAGGCATGGGTAACCTGGCGGTATCCCAGCTCTCGTGCTTCCTTCGGGTGGCATGGCTGTCAGGCACCGAAAGGATGTTCCAGCTGAAAATTTTTTTAACATTTTACTTAGCCGCGACTGAAAATGACGATGAGTGCAGGTAACTGCAACTCTTCTAGGATGTTCCAGCTGAAAATTTTTAATATTTTATTTAGCCGCGACTGAAAATGACGATGAGTGCAGGTAACTGCAACTCTTCTCAGTTGTATCTGTAACAGGGATAATGAGCTCTGTTTGCTTTTCTGATATGCTGACAAGGCAAAGCTGCCACAATTAGGTGGCACTGGTGATCCATTCCTGAATTGTCGTGCATGAAGCGTTGCGCGAGTAATAACTGCACCTTGTATTAAAGCAGAATTCAAGTAAGCGAGGTGTTCTTATTTTCAGTCGCTGAGTACATAGATACACAACTCCGTTTTTCTTCCAAAAGGACTGTTTATATAAATGAGTGTCTGAGGTTCATATGGAAACAATGTTTTCTTCAGAGTGACTTTCTTGCAAACCTAACGAGTTCTTGGGGACTGTTTCGTTGTATTGAATGAGGGGCTGAAAAGATAAGTTTTCTCATGGCAGGATGAAGTCTGTATTCCTTACCTCTGTGTTATGACGACAGAAGGCTGTCACACAAGATTAATTAAGGAGCTGACTTGCACAAAGGATATCGCTGACGTCGCACTCGACGGGCATGAGCTCGAGCTAACTCAGTAGTTAAAGTGCGAGCGTGCCGTCCAGAAGGTCTGTAATTTGAACCCAGCCCTGGCCTTTCGAAGTGCTTCAGTCCGAGGCTTGCGCGGCATAGCAGTATCTCAGTCCTCGTGCTATCTTCGGGAAGAACGGCAGTCCTGCACCACAAGAGCGTTACACATGAATAATGTTGATAATAATAATAATAAAGCATATGGGAAAGCTAGCGCATTTCATACTGGTTGCAACACTCTTACGTAGTTTGCAATTAGCTACTTGATTCTTCCAGAGTAGGTCTTCAAGTCAGTTTTTGTGTGCTATGTCAATCTCATGATACTTTACAGATCTCCACTCACTGACGCGTTGACTTAGGCCGGTGCCAACCGTGTGTTTGGGAGACACTGCAGTCCGCAGTCCACTGCAGTCCCGACCACTCAGTTAGCAAACGTATTGTGGTGATCCGAAAGAAATATGCCCTTGTGAACAGANATTGTGGTGATCCGAAAGAAATATGCCCTGGTGAACAGATATTGATGTGCAATTGAATACGTTCTGTGAGGAACTCGCTGCAAAGTCTTCAAGTTCTTTGGACCACATTCTTCTTTTTGAGGTCTCACATTTTAATGGGCTTGCATTTTTCATGGTATACGAAGAGAGACAAGATAGAACCACTCCATTCGCCTCTTCCTTGTTGTCCGGACTGCACACGAAATGTTGTTTGCCGTGATTGAATAATGACAGTAGTAGCGGTAGGATGAATAATATTTAATTTCGTTAATTATTTTTCTTGCTTTCATATGTTGATACTGGCACCCATTCCTGTCTACTCATCTCCCCCCCCCCTATGAATCAGAATCGCGATGCGAGGTCTCAGACAGTTTTTAAGGGCCTGTAACTGTACATATCTTGAGCATTGCTTGACACTCTCCTTCGATGCATCTGGTGGAAATTCAGAATGTAGAGTTTCTTCCGAAAGCTCCAATCCATGGGACCCTGGCGAAGGTCTTTTGAAGACGGTTGACGACATTGTTCGGTGAGTAACCTGTACCTTGAAGGTGACGCCGCCTTTATTCATCACTGGAACCCTTTCCTTTTAGCTGCCTGTAGAACACCGTTATTTTGCCGGGCCAACAATCAATGGACTTCTTATAGGTAACTTGTCTAATCCAACCGAGCTGGATGACTCGGGGTCCATCGAATCAGTTCAGAACCAAACTTTTTTATCTGGGCTCACCTCACATCGTTGCTTGAAGAGCCAACGAGTGCGAATGCCACACGCCAGTGTTCATAACTCAGCTTCGTTTCGCATCATGTTTCTTAGCAGCCTAGAATTAATGTGACCTCAGTTGTTCTAAGTACATTAAAGCGAAATAGTGAAAAAAGAGTACAATTACATGTGCTAAATTGATCGAGTGGAACATGTGTTGAGTTCAAAGTAAACGTCTCGCTTGACAGGATAGCATTATACGCACTATTAGAGTGCTGTTCTACCTCTCCTTCAGTAGCTCATATATGCCAAGCAACATATTTGCATTTTTCAGCGGATATTGTACAATCGATAAGAGAGTAAAACTTAAATGTTGCAATGCTCGCTCTCTGGAACTCGGGACTATTCTTAACGATAGCTTACAAACCATTTTTGCTGTTATCACCGTTGTGTGTGCTGTGCATACCGCATGGAACACCGCTCTGCTGGCTCGAATAGGTTAACAATGGATCTGCCTGATGTTATAGTATCCCTCAGTGAACGCATGGAATTGGCGCTTTTCGATTTTATGCTTCCCTCGTTTTGATCATAAAAATAAACTGCCACTCGAAGTAGGACCATTACACACTTGTCACCAAGAGGCAACTTCGTACTTGCCATACAGTGGTTATAGCTGCCGCAGGTTCGTTCACCGATGATTCGGGGAGTTGGGGTAGGTAGCTGCGCATTGAAGGCGGTAGCTGATATAATTGATGCATGAATACAAGGATATCAGTGGACGTTTAGTTGAGGAGATTGGGAGGGGAGTTATGCATTGAAGGATATAACTTGGATGCATGAATGTCATTGAGGTCACGACTAGGGGATGTCTGACAATTTCTCCAACAATTGATGTGATCTCTCTCAGAGTCCCTATGCAGGGAGACGGTAATGAGCAGCGCGGTGGAGTTTACGGGTACTAGCTTCGACCTTGACGGATAGGCCCACGGTACAGGCGATGTAGTTAAACGGAAGCTGTTCTCGCTTTCCCTATTCGGCTGGAAGTTTGTTGGTCGACTGCTATCCGGAGCACCTGACCAAGCCAGGAGTGTGATCATCTTATTTATCGTGGGCGAGTTACCTCTTCCGAAAACCGTTCGACGTACTTCAGCATTACTGATCCGGTGTTCCCACCAGACTCGGGCAATGATCCAGAGACATCGATGGTCAAACACTCAGTCTTTTGACGTCATCGGTACGCAACGTACAGGTTTCTGACCTGTATAATAATATGGAGCGCACCGCCCGCATGTGCCCTCAACCCTTGCTAGGTTAGCTCATATTACATCTACGCCACAGGAGATACAGGTTCACGAAAGTTATTCTGGCCTTCCCCATCCGGATGGAAATCTAATCTTTGCGAGACCACCTGGATTGATACAGCTGCCCAAGTAGACGCCTTGACGGATAGGCCCACGGTACAGGCGATGTAGTTAAACGGAAGCTGTTCTCGCTTTCCCTATTCGGCTGGAAGTTTGTTCCCCCACATTATTGATTTGTCATGTGCTTATAAACGTCACGCGTGTAAGTTTGCGGTATAACATTTTCCGAACTGGTGCGCTTTGCTGTTTGTAGAAAGCTTCGTAGGGAGGCGAAACTCACTTCTACGGAAGTCGTCGCTGGATGATGTCTAAATGCCTCCTCGCGATTGCTTCCCTGTGAGACAGGGAATCAACGAATCGATTCCTGAAGGAAAGATCATCTTCATTCTTTTTCAATACCTATGTCATTCCGTTTTGGGAAAACGATGGAGTTCTA